TTGTACATTTTGCTTTCAAATATTATTATTGAATTCTGTCTGTAATTGAAGGTATTTTCCCAGTTTTTCTAAAGATACCAAAATTGACAAAAAACGAATCAAAAGTATTGCAAAGCGTTGCTTCGCAACACTTTTCATTCGTTTTTTGTCGCTTTTGATATAAAAATTAAACTTTGATTGGAATTGAGATAAATTTTGTGACTCTAAATTTTTAATCTTGTGTTTTCTAAATTCTTAATCTCGTGTTAATATCAAAAGTCAATTAGAAATGGGATAATTTTACAAACTAAAAAAATCCCCCCAAAAAAAAACTTGTAGAGGATAAAAAAATAAATATCTAAAGGTAAAGTCAGAATAGAATTCAAATCCAGGGAGGGCAGTATTTATACGTGGGACGAAGAGAGAGAGAGAGAGAGAGCAGAGCATAGAATCGCTATCGGCGGCCATTCATCAATCCGGGGAATCAATACGCTGGAATTAATGAAAGCGCCGCGCGAACAGCGAGCTAGCGGCCGGAATGTTAATCGCGATCGTCCCGCGTCCGACCCGAGCCTGTTCTCGTGTATACAGCAAAACTCCCATGGGTCCATACCCCATCCTCCCGGACGACAAACCCTTTACCCCCGGCAACCTCTCACCTCTATATTACGTTCTCGACAACCCCCGCGATCCTCACTTCGAGCTCTCTCTCTCTCTCTTCCTCTCTCGCCAGATATGTGTATATATGTATATATATACGCGAATACCTGCCACGCGTTTATTCTATTCACATGCGGATATATCTACAATCGTACTTTTGTTTTCGAAAGAGAGAAGTACATGTCATCAGCAGTTAGGTTCACGCGCCAATTAGAAATGGAATTGAAAATTTATTTTTTATTTTTGTAAAAATTATAGTTTGTTATTTATGAATAAATATTAAATTTTAATAGACTAACAATTATAGTATAACATAATAAAAATGTAACAGAAAATAATTAATAATAAAAGTCTTATTAATAAAAAATGTAAAATATACTTTAGTGCAGGCATCGAACTTGTCTACTATATATAGTATAACTAAAACCTACTATTTACTACTTTAAATTTGTTAATAATTCGAAATAAAAAAATTATTCTCAAATATGTTTTAAAAATTGTTACAGAAATAATTCAAAAAATTTTAATAAAATTCTATCAAACTATTCAATTAGTTATTAGTTAATTATTTCCATAACTGTAATCAATAAAGAATTCAATTATTCTATAAAAATTTAATAAAAATCTTTTTAGAAATTTAATTAAATGCAAAAATTTTCAAAAGTCAATTATTATTTTCAATATCTCTTAATTTGATAAAAAATTTCACAAATGAATTGAATTATTTAAATAGATTTTTTATAAAATTCACTTTTGCAAATGTTCAATTATTTTCATAAATAATTAAATTTTCACATCAGGAATTCAATTATTTAAAATATACAATTTTCATAAAGTTTTTCGAAAAAATCAATTATTTAAATGAATTTTTATAAACTTCTTCGCAATAATTTAATTATTTTTATAAATAATAAAATTCGTCTCAAGGATTCAATATTATTTCAAAATTTTTCGAAGCAAATGAATTAATTAAAAGATTTTTATAAAATTCTTTGCAATCATTCAATTATTTTTATAACTAATAAAATTATCACTGGAATTCAATTATTTAAAAGTTTAAACCCATTTTTTTAGAATTTTTTGAATAAAATCAATTGTTTAAAAAGTTTTTTATAAAATTCTTACCAAGAATAAAATTATTTTTATAAATAATAAAATTCTACTCAAACATTCAATTATTTTTAAAATTTTGTTAATAAAATTCGTTGAAAAAATTCAATTATTTTCATAACTAATCAAAAGAATTAGATTATTATAAAAAATTTATACAAAATTTTTTGTAGTATAATTTAATTAAATACAAAAAATTATCGAAATTTAATTATTTTCAATCTCTACTATTTTAATAAAATTGCACAAGATGTTCAATTGGATTTCAATTATTTGTAGTACATTTTTAAATAAATTCTTCAAAAAAATTCAATTATTCTTGAAAATTTTATTAAAATTTTTCGAAAGAATTTAATTATTTTTTAAATTTTTGATAAAGTTCTGTATTCATTATCAAGAAAAATTCAATTGCTTAATAAATTATATAGTTTTGGATCTAAATAATTGAATTCTAGTAGAACTCATCAATAACAATTGATTTTTCAATAAAAATTGAATCTCAGTTAAAATTTTAGATAATAAATAATAATTGTAATAATATTAAAATTTTTATTTTGAAATAAAATGATTATAGTTTTGAATAATTATATTTAAAAATTTCAACAAAAAATAATTTAATTTTGGAAATAATAAAAAAATGAAGTATTTCTGTTTCTCTGTTAATTAAAATTGTCTCTATATAAAACGCAGTCATCAAACTAATTAACCTTTTTCTGAAATGTTGATATTTTTAACTATAAAAATGATAATTTACCAGCCAACTATAGATCACACTTCTAATTATACACAAACACTTCTGAACGTAATAAACTGTAAATTTTATTAAATATTTTATTTCACAAAGTTTATTTTCCTAGTCGGCAATAAAAATTTTTCTCACTTGTTTTAAATATATTTTTAATTACATATTTACTTTGTATAAGTTATACTTTATTTACTCTTCAGTATATTACGATTTACGAGAAATTATTTTTTGCATTTTTTTAGTTACTATTTACTAATTTGTTATTTTTATATGTAATTTATTAACCGGTTAGTAAATAAATAAATAAAAAATAAATTATCTATCGCTATAAATTAATAACTGAAGAAAATATAATAATAAATAACTGTGAATAAACTAAACATTTATTTAATACAATATTTTATTTTAAAAAAAATTTATTTATTTATTTACGAAACTCGCAATTCTTCATTGTTTTATAATAAATAATAATAATTAATAATAATATTGACACATGAATACATTTTTTTGAAATTCTTAGAAAATATTTGAAATTCTTGGAAAATAACTTAAAATCTTCGAAAATATTGGAAATCTACAAAATTCAAATTCAAAAGATTGTCGCAGCGAAATCTGTAGAATTTAAAAGTGAAACATGTGATCGTTCCTACATCTTTCAAGCAGAGAGATGTTGTCAGTAGTCGGTATAGAAGGATCGAAAGAATCTTTCGTTTATCGACAAGTCACTGGCCCTTTTCAAACCTCATGACTTTTGTGTTCGTCCTTCCGTTCACAGAGGACCAGAAAATTTATATTTCAAATACTCCTTCGAATCTTTTTTTTCGTTTAAAAAAATTCCACTTGTAAATTGTATAATAATTGTCCTTAAGAAATATGCGTTTTAATTCTTTTTTTTTCTCTAATAATTTCAATTCTTAATTACAAATTTTTAATTACAATTGTAAATTATATTTAAATATTTCCTCTATAATAATTACAATTATGAAATAAATCTTGAAAGTGTAAATAAGAACCCTGATTTCTGACAGGCATAATTAATCTAATGAATGATCAATTTATAATTATTATGACCATAAGTAAAAAAAAAAGTTTTTGCATTTATACACATGAATTTTTACATTTTTGTTTTTTATAAATATAATCAATTTTTGATAATTTAATTTTTCATTTCTTCTTCTTCTTCTTCTTCTTATATGACTTTAGACACTGCCAACTGTCAGAATAACAATATTTAAATTTTTAATAATAATATCCCTCCTAGCATCCGGATGATAACTTTGATTTTGACTTCAAAGATTTTGACTTTGACTTTTATCTTTATACAATTTATTGTAACTCTGACTTTCTCTTTTATTTTAACTTAGACACTGAAAATTTTTGACTAATTTTAATTAGTGACTGGCCTTTTTGGTTTTGAATTTGTAAATTTTATTAATAAATTAGTAGAAATTACTATTTATTTAGTAAACTTTACTAATTCAGAAGTAAAAAGTCGGTCACTAATTCAAATTAGTAAACATTTTTACTAATTCAGATTAAGAGAGTAATGTAAGTAATTAATTATTATTAATCATTAATTATATTTATTTCATTGAAAACATTTAATTTGGTGCATTATAATTGCTTTTTTTATCAGCTCATAACCATAAATTGGCAAATAATATACGAGAGGAAAATCCTTTAATGTGATTACTTTTTTTAGGGTGTGATGTGAGAGATTAATGTCCAACATAGAATCAAAAATTGCAGCAAAGTTTCTAAAATTGAGGAAATATTTTCAATATTGTTGCAAGTTTAGGTGCAAAGAGAACAGTTTTTCTAAGCGTATCAAATTGAGACAAAAAACGAATCGAAACGTCGCTTCACAACGCTTTTGATTTGTTTTTTGTCTCAATTTGATATGCTTAGAAAAACTGTGACGGTACCAAAAAATTGTCAAATGTTCAACAACCAGAAAAATATAGAGAATCAAAAGAAGACTTAAAATCCTATTCTAAAGCATGATGATTAAGTCTTTCCGTTAATTTTTTGTCCTGTGTCCCCCCCTTTTACTTCCAGCAGTCATTTATAAAATTCTACATTTATACATACTGAGAGAAACACCGCAGAAAACTATTAATTTTGTTTCTGAAATTCTCTGGTCTCCTAAAAAGAAAAAAACAATCCCGGAAGATGATATTAATCCGCAAAATCCTGAAAGAAACATTGGTAGCCATGATGATTCTCTAATGATCTGGATTACCCTTGTTTAAAAATCTTTTTATCCCGCCCACACAGAAGACACTGTCTGGGCGATGGCCGTCAGCGTGACGAGCACGTGTGTGTATAATACCTCTCGGCAGCTGTCACTCAGAAACTGTCAGTCCCATTGCGTTCACATAAAACAGAGACAAAGATTTGCAAAAATTTTTCAACTCATCATCAAATTTTGAACAAATATTTTATTATTTTAACAAATGCCGAAAAAGAATTGATTGAATTTAATTGTTTTCATCATGTGTTACAGGTGCGGCCTAGCGTCGTCAGCGTGCTGGACAGAAAAGCAAAAGACGTCCAGAGCGGCTCGTCACTTTGAACGAGGATACCGCACCGAGGGAAAAGAAGAACTCTGACTACAAATAAAATTCCCCTGGTGTATTTTGCAAAAAAAAAAATTGTTTTTGCACGTAACTTAACGGTTCTGTAGTGCTTCAGTTCTCCTTTTAGTGGGTGAACCAAAGTGTGATAATTCCAGTCTCAAATGATTAATAAGTGATCCCGCGTAACAGTGTGATAGCTATTTATTATAGTGCAGAAAAGGCAAGAAAGAATAAAAAAAAAAAGTGTAGTGGTGTAAGTGGTCAGTGTTATTAGCAAGACAGAGTACAAAAGAAGAAAAAAAAACAAGTGAAGCTAAAAAAGAAAAGTGCGAAGGAGAGAAGAGGTGCGGCTAACCGAGTGACAGTAGCATGAGTTCGTACTTTGCCAATTCCTATATCCCGGACCTGCGAAATGGCGGGGTGGACAATCCCCATCAGCACCAGCATCATTATGGGGCTGCCGTCCAAGTGCCCCAGCAAAGCCAGTCCGTCACCCAACAGCCCCAACAGGGCGCCGATCCCTGTGACCCAAGTCTGCTTAGACAGGCTGTGCCAGCCCATCATTATGGAGCCGGTGGACAGCAGGGCATGCCCTATCCAAGGTTTCCACCCTACGATCGAATGGACATTAGAAACGCGGCCTACTATCAACAACAGCAGGAGCACGGCAGTCTCGATGGCATGTCCGGCTATAGGTCGACATCGCCGAGCTCAGGAATGGGTCACATGGGCCATACGCCAACGCCAAATGGACATCCCTCGACACCAATTGTCTACGCGAGTTGCAAACTCCAAGCGGCTGCGGTGGACCACCAGGGCAGCGTACTTGACGGCCCTGATAGTCCGCCCCTCGTCGATTCACAGATACATCATCAGATGCACACCCAACATCCACATATGCAAACGCAACAGTCACAGCATCAGCAGCCGCAGCACAATCCCCATATGCAACAGCAACAGCACTTGATGTATCAGCAGCAACAGCAACAACAGGCAGGTAGTCAAGCACCTTCGGCTGCAATGCACGCGCAACAACAATCGCAAACGCAGCAGCATCAAGGTGTTGTCGCGTCACCGCTTGGACAACAGCAGCAGAGCAATCCTCAGGGTGCTGCTTCGGCGAATCTTCCCAGTCCGTTGTATCCTTGGATGAGGAGTCAATTTGGTGAGTACCTTTTTTATTCATATTATCCTATCCGTTCATGCTGCATCTATACTTAAACCTACAACTATAGTTTAGGTACAACCTTCAAACTAAAAACTAAGCTACAACCTACATCTCTGGTCGTCGACCTGTACCTTCTAAACTTTTAAAAATTGGACTCTAACTTTACACCAAAAAGATTAAATCGATGTTGTTTCAATCCCTGCCTCCGTAAAATAACCGGAAATATCATTTGATATTTCTTAGGTTCTAGGTCCACGGATCTAACAGTATACAAGAATATTTACACAGTTTTTTTTAAGGATATCAAAGTTGAGACAAAAAATGTATCAAAATTGTTGCAAAGCAATGTTCGGTACGTTTCTAGTCTCAATTTGATATCCTTAGAAGAACCTGTTTATATAGGATATCTATGGGTGTCATGCTGCATCAACATAGACAACATTTACTCTATAGGATTTACATTTCTAAATTCTAGAGATGTCCCCAGACTACCGGAAATTAGGGTATCTGTGAAATGACCAGAAATATCAATTGATATTTCCTGGGATATTTATTAGCTTCTGGGTCCTTAAAGTAGATGGATATTTAGGATATAACTATGGTTGTCATGCTACATCAACATAGAAAACATTTATATACTCTAGGAATAAATATGTTTATCCGGAAATTAGTCGTCCGTAAAATAAACGGAAATATTGCTTGATATTTTCTAGGTTACTTCTTAGGTTCTGGGTCCTGACAGTAAATGAATATATTTAGGATATATCTATATGGGTGTCATGCTATATCAAGATAGACAACATTTATATACTCTAAAACGTACAGATGTCTATCAAAAATTAAGTTGTTTATAAACTAACCGCAAATATCATTTGCTGCAGCTCTTAGGATATTCCCTATAGGTCCTAACATAGAAGTTACTCCAAATAACGTTCAGAACACTTTGGCTTAGTTTAAACAATTTTGGGTTGGTTCAAAAATCGATGAATTGGTTCAAATAAGTTTAAAAGTTGATTTAAGTAGATTTCAGTTAAAACAAATACATTTGAGTTGGTCCAAATAAGGTTTTAATGTCCTTGAGATGCTTTGAATAATTTTGAGTTGGACAAAACAAGATTCAATTGGTTCAAATATGTTTAAAATAAAGTTAAGTCACTTTAAATTGGTCAAAATAACGTTCAAATAACTTTGAGTTGGTCTAAATAAGTTCAAAATTGTTTGAAATATAAATTAAAGTAGGTTCAGAATAAGTTTCAACTGGTCCAAATAACTTTTAAATGGTTCAAATAAATTGGAAATTTGTTTAAATAACTTTGAATTGGTTCAAATAATTTGCAGTTGGTTTAAATAACATTAAGTTGAATAGAATAAGTTGGAAATAGGTTCAAATAAATTTGAGTTGGCTAAAATAACTTTAAGTTGGTCCAAACATTTAAATAGGTTCAAGTAACTTTAAGATAGTCAAAATAACGTAAAATTGGTTCAAAGAAGTTTAAAATAGGTTCAAATAACTTTCAGATGGTTCAAATAATTTTAAGTTGGTCCAAATAACGTTAAAATAATCTTGAATTGGTTTAAGTAACATTCGAATAAATTTATGATGGTTGAAATACTCAAACTTATATGTGAATAAGTTTGAGTTGTACAAAACAACTTTAAATGGTTCAAATAAGTTTGAAATAGGTTTTAATTACTTTGAGATGGATCAAATAATTTTGTAATTGGTTCAAATAATTTTCAGTTGTTTTAAATAAAGGTTAAGTTGAATAGAATAGGTTGAAAGTAGGTTCAAATAAATTTGAGTTGGCTAAATAACTTTAAGTCAATCCAAACATTTAAATAGGTTCAAGTATCTTTGAGTTGGTCCAAATAACGTAAAGTTGGTTCAAATATGTTTTAATTAGGTTCAAATAACTTTGAGATAGTTCAAATAATTTTAAGTTGATCCAAATAGCTTAAATGGTTTAAATAAGTTGGAAATTTGTATAAATAACTTTGATTCGGTTCAAATAATTTTGAGTTGGTCCAAATAACATTGAGTTGATTAAAATAAATTGGAAATAGGTTCAAAAAATTTGAGTTGGTTCAAAGAAAGTTTAAAATTGGTTCTAATAACGTTAAGTCGGTCCACACATTGATAAGTTGGTTCAAATATGTTTTAAATAAGTTCAAATAACTATATGAGTTGGTTACAATAATTTTAAGTTGGTCCAAATAACGTTAAAATAATCTTGAGTTGGTTCAAGTAACATTCAAATAAATTTTTTATTGTTTAAATAGGTTTAAATTATAGTCCAAATATCGTTAAATTGGTTCAAGTAATTTAAAAATTTGTTTAAATTTTAAGTATAGGTTTAAATAAGTTTGAGTTGTCCAAAACAACTTTTAAAAGGTTCAAATAAGTTTGAAATTGATATATATAACTTTAATTCGGTTCAAATAATTTTGAGTTCGTCCAAATAACGTTAAGTTGATTAGAGAAAATTGAAAATAGGTTCAAATAAATTTAAGTTGGTTAAAAAAGTGTAAAATTGGTTTTATTAACTTTCAGTCGATCCAAAACATTGTTAAGTTAGTTTAAATAATTTTCAAACAAGTTAAAATATTACTTGGAGTTTCTTCAAACAACGTTAAATTTGTTAAAATATATGTTTGAAATATGTTCAAATTACTTTAATTCGGTTCAAATAACTTTGCAATTGGTTCACATAACTTGGAGGTGGTTCAAATAATTTTTGGTTCATCCAAATAACGTTAAAAATAATTTTAAGTTGGTTAGAATAACACTCAAAGAACTTTCAGATGGTTGAAATACGTTTAAGTTGGTCAAAATTTCGTTAATTTGGTTCAATTAGGTTCAAAATTGGGTTAAATAAATTTGTGTAGGTTCAAATAAGTTTTAGTTGGACAAAATAACTTTTAAATGGTTCACATAAGTTTTAATTTGTTTCAATAATTTTAAATGGGTTCAAATAATTTTGTGTTGGTTCAAATAACATTAAGTTGGTTCAAATGAGTTTTAAATAGGTTTAGATAATTTTGAGTTGCCCCAAAATAACGTTAAGTTTGTTAGAAAAACTTGGAAATAGGTTCAAATAAATTTGATTTGGTTCGAATATGTTTGAATTTGGTTCAAATAACTTTGAGTCGATTTCAACAATGTTAAGTTGGTTCAAACAATGTTAAGTTAATTCGACTAGGTTTCAAATAGGTTCAAATAAGTTTCAATTGGTCCAAATAACCAATAATAAAAAAATATTTATTGACTAAAATAACTTTGAGTTGGTACAAAGATAAGTTTGAAATATATAGAAAACAAAAAGAAACCGCATTTGGAAACGGTAGTTTCCAAATGCGATTTCTTTTTGTTTTCATTGCATATATAAAATTTTTCTTTACAAGTATAAGATTTAATATCTAATCTCGTCTCTTTTAAAAAATTGTAATTTATTAATACGATTTCTAAATGACCAAACGACCTGTTGCAAAAATATAAAAGACTCATTTTGCCAAGAGATACGTGACTCGATTTTGTAAAATTCGTTCAAAAGACATTGTAATACTTTTATAAAGAATATGTATATAACCTTCTCTCGCAGGTAAATCAGGTAGCAACACACGCGGCTTTCTTTTCGAATTTATGCAACAAAACGCGTGTAAAACTGGACTAGATTCTACGGTTGCAAATCGGGAGGGTATAAGCATATAATGTCACAAACTTTTCTAGACATACCAGAAATGCGAGTTATTTATTGCTTCGACCTTTTAGCCGAGTATGTTTCACCACGCATATAGAGAGAAACCTTTGTCTCTCTCTCTCTCTCTCTTTCTCTCTCTATATATATATATATACTTTGACATTCCTCTTTTAGTTTTATCTAGAACTTTTCATGCATTTCAAATTGATTTACTTTTACAATAAGTTTTTTGATTTTAGCTGGCGATAATGTGTTTTCTGTTTCAAGTCTATGAAATAAGGAGACTCTTTTGTAATTTCTATTCTTCAAGTTCATAATTTGGTTTTAAGAACTATATATAGTAAATTTTACTTTGTTCTCTTTGGCAATTTTTCTTTAGTAAAATTCTACCGGAACGTAGAATTTTGCTTTGATTTCAAATCCCAAATTTTTTATACTGGCGAATTTTTAATGCAACAGGTGGTTTTTCCTTTAAAACACCAAACATTTCAGGATTTCGCAACGAATAAAATTAATTATTGTAAACTTTTTTAATTCTTCATAATTTTTTTTTATTTTACGAAGTAAGACAAAGTCTGGTAAAAAATGTGCAACAGCTAGATTCAATTTTTTCGAAATTTATTTTTCTAAAATATTTCAATTATTTAAAAAAAAATTTTTTATAAAATTTTTTGCAAATGTTCAATTATTTTCAGAAATAATAAAATTTTCACTGAAATTAAATTATTTAAAATACAATTTTTAATTAAATTTAAATTAAATTTTGATTTTTTAATCATTTATTTTTTTTTTTATTTTTTTTAATTAAATTTTTAATTTAAATTCAAAATTTGTTGAAAAAAATCCATTATTTTAAAAGGTTTTTATAAAATTCTTCGCGAGAATTCAATTATTTTTATAAATAATAAAATTTTTCTTCGGAATTCAATTATTTTTGAACATTTCTCGAAATTCAATTATTCAAATTACATTTTTATACAATTCTTTGCAAATATTCAATTATGTTCCTAAATAATAAAATTTTCGCGCAGGAAATCAATTATTTCAGAACAATTTTCACAAAAATTTTCGAGAAGAGATCAATTATTTAAAAAGATTTTTCTATAATTTTTCGCAAGAAATCAATTATCTTTCAAAATTTTGCGAAATTCAATTATTTTCTATGTCTATTATTTTAATAAAAAATTTCGTAAAAGAATTCAATTGAATTCTTTTTTGAATTCTATTTTCATAAAATTCTTTGCAAATATTTAATTACTTAATCATAAATAATAAAATCTTTACAGGAATTCAATTATT